GAGTTCCTGAGACTCACTGGGTGGAGAGGATCCAAAGTGCTCTATTTTGGTGATCACATCTACAGTGACTTGGCAGTAAGCAACAACCAGGCATATTTACAACAAAAGACCTATAAATGCACAAAACACCGTAGTACAAAAGATTACAAAAATAAGAACAAAGAGGGACGCTCTCCATTGAAAGTGTTATTTAAGATAAGTGTGTTTCTCTTAAACTCAAAGGGCTTATCTTAGTGCAAAAATACCGAACGAATGCTGGGAATTTGATAATAATACTTGTATAGGAATGAGAGTGTTATTCCTCATGCATTAAAAGTTTTTGTAGCTGTGCATTGAGTTTGGCTGACATCTTAATGAGTCTGTTTTCCCTGATATACAACCTACAGTAGTAACACTACACCCAGTTCACCATTTTTACCTGTAACCTAGCAACTTGACAACAGCTGTCCATCGTCTACACTAAACAAACTAAGATCCTTTTTTTTACCGCGTCACAATGAATGATGATAACTTGATTGTTTGAATGCATGTCTGATCAGCTGTAAATGGTGATAATGAAAGACAGAGTTTACATCTTTGGCACAGTGCCTTGTTGATGGCAGGCAGCCAGCTGTCAAACATGTCATCTTGATTATTTAGGGAGACAGAACGTGGTGTGTGTGGTTTACACCAGCCACGGCGTAGAGTCAGCCTGCATATCTGTAGGATGAGATCATTACTGCAAGTGGACACAGATTAGAAGCATCTCTGTGTTACTGAGGAGTTATATGGCAGGTGTTAAATAAAGACACAAACAGTCATGACAAGATCATGACTGTGTTTTATCAGTTTAGAAATACTGTTTGTTGATATTTGATTTTGGTGAAGATCACATCACACACAGGACCACTTTATGCAGAAAACCAGGAAATATAAATGTACTTATATAAATAAGTACATTCCTATATTACTGGCAATTCATGCTGTATATAGCAGCTTGTGTTCAAGACCGGTCTCCTGGTCCTTTGTTTTGCAGGATCTGACTCTGAAACATGGCTGGAGGACAGGTGCAATCATCCCTGAGCTTAGGAAGGAGATTAAGATCATGAACACAGAGCAGTATGTGCACATGATGACCTGGTCACAGGCGCTGACTGGACTTATCGAACAGATGCAGGTTTGGAAACGTAACATAAACATTTGTGCCAGCCTTCCATGCAGCTTTTCTTCTGTATCCTTTGCCTCTATATGCTCATATTTTTGTGCTTGGCTTCAATGCACTACTCACAAACAGGTACTGAGGGATCCAGCATCTCAAGCTGTTGTCGAGGAGTGGATCAGAGAAAGGGAAGCTATGAGGTAATGAAGATGAGTCTTTTGACAATCAAGGGCAGTTCTGATACTTCACTGAGATCATGTGCAACTGATCTAACCATATCTTGATGGTATGTATGTGTTTTATGGCAGGCCACAAACAAAGGACATCTTCAACGCCCAGTTCGGGAGTCTCTTCCGGACGTACCACAACCCCACTTACTTCTCACGTCGACTGTCACGTTTTGCTGACATCTACATGGCCTCCATCAGCTGCCTGCTCAACTATGGCCTCCAGCACACCTTTTTCCCTCGTCGTACTCCTCTGCAGCACGAGTCCCCCTTCTGGCCTGAACACATTCCT